ATTGTGCTCTACACTGGAATTTGACACAACATTGTCAAATTGTAAACTGACTATAACCCAATTAAAAAAAAAAAAAGAATCTAACCAAAGCTATGGAATCATGAAGAAACTACACCCCCTGAGGCTTACACACAATCTCACAGTTGCAGGGGACTTGGAAATAAGCCCCTTTCCAGTCTGATCCATGGATCTCAGATACTGCTGTAAAGGCCTCCAGTTTCCAAACGACCCTACCTATTGTAACACATTCTACTCTCTCCCTGCCGTCAAGAATTTACACGGTTCCCCCAGTACCACTAATCTCGAGTAGATCCCAAGAAGAAAGCAACATGGGCTGTCACACTGGCAGATCAGGACAGTGCTGCAGTGAGAATCACGAGGACTAGATCTGGGTCCCAGCTGTGTCACTATGGCTATGTAACCTCACGTAAGTCACAGATCCTGTGACAGTGCCTCCTCAGCTGCGAGTGAGGGGCTGGAATCGCCCGTGGTGCCAACACCTTCGGAAGGGAGCAGCGTTCTTTCGTTTAGTGACTACTTACGGAGCACACAATTCTACCCAGGAGACCGGACACCCCCAGACTGATAAGGTGGGCACAGAGCACATCCAACACGGCACAGACTCTGAGGTAGGAGAAAGCAGGGGATCTCCTAGGAAATTCAAGGAGTTTAATTCGGAAGCTCCGAGCACGGAGATTAAGGGCTGGCAGGAGACTGTGTCGCAGACACGGCAAGGGAAGTGTTTTAGAAACAGGCAGCTTGACATATCCTCCCAATTGGCCACCCACTGTAAGTACCAGAAGAACAGAGTTCGCCTGACATTTTACTTTTAAAAATTTCTGCCTCATAAATGGTAAAAACTGCTCTTAGTCTGACAATATTTCAACTACAAATTTCTAATAAAGAAAAATGACCACTCAGTAAAGAGTCCCACCGTTCCTAAACTCTGATTAATCAGTCAAATTTGTTCTTGGCCACCACTTACTAGAAACATTACTCCATGACTTAGCTTTGGCCATTTCCCTACAGTTTTACTCTCTTCCGAGAGGCTCACTAAACTCCACTCCTCCTCCCTGCCCTCCTAATGCCCCAGCCTGATTCTGGCGGCAATCAGCAGTGACAAAGACAAGGCAAAAAGCGATCATGAACATTTCTCAAAAAGTCAGCATTAACCTCAGACCACATTAGTGTTATTAGTTTGCCACTCAGACCAAATGAGACTTTCCAGCAATCTCACTCCTGCTGCCTGTGCCCGTTCAAGGCAATTCTTCACGATGTGCTCCGCATTCCATCAGCTCCCACTTTCCAAGGTTTCTGGCCAACAATCATCCCTTCTAATTCTTCAGCCTCCAACCCGTCTCTTTAGGCGAACCCCCACCAGGCTCCCATCATGTGAACACATCGAGTTACCCTTCTGTGTTAAGAAATCATCATTCCGCAAACATTTATCAAGTGCCCACTAGGTGCCTGAATCTGCATGAGGCACTGGCACTGCCTGCATGGAGCCTGAAGACATGGGGAAAAGAGAAACCCCAACAGCCTGCTCCAACCTAGGAATTCATTCCCAGAAAACTCATTTTTGAAAGTTATGTTATAAAAGCAGCTATTCAAAGAGGGTAAAAAGGAGCCAGAGTTTCAGACTCAAAATAATACATTCACTCTTCCTGCAAGACTTCCAGTAATACAGTGTAAAGTAAAAATTCTCACACTACTGAGCAAGCCCAACTTTTAATTATACTTAGCTTTGCTCAAGAGTAAAGCTTTTCTTTTCCCAGTCAAATTAGCGCTACCAAAAAATGCTCTTCTCAACTCTTCTCAAACATTATCATCAGTACCACCCACAACTGTGATCCACAAAGCAGAAAGCCCACTGAAACTTTTTCTTACTCAAGCAGTGGTTTCCTTAGTGCAAACTGTGGTCCCTCAGTCCTCTACCACTGCATTACATCCAACGCCCTGCTTTGAAAGGGGAAGTCAAGGCACACAATGAAAGTAGACGGGGGATCACACCCTGCGGGCGGGGGTGGGGTTGGGAAGCCCTTCCCCCAACCCCCACCCCAGAAAGTGAGACCTCAGGGATGAGTAGGCGGTAGCTAAGTAAAGGGGGAAAAATGAGGGAAGGCTGTGCTCAGGCAAAGAGAACTACATCTACAAAGACCCTACGGAAGGGCAGACAGCACATTTCAAGGAAGAGAACCAGTGGACAAGAAGGAAGAAAGTCACATGGGGAGGCAGAACACGTGGTCCTGTGAGCCAAGGCAGGGCTGTGAATTTCCCAAGGCGAGCAACGGGAAACCAAGGAGGGTTTCAGCAGGGAAGTCACATACTCAGGCTCCACCTTAGCCACCATCCGCACTCGGCCCCCATGCCTCTGGGTTCCACTCAAACTGCTCTCTAAGCCATCTGCTCCTCCTCTAGCTTGATCTTGTGCCCTGCAGCACATATCTGCTGACCACTGGCTCCCTCCACACCCACCATCCCTCCCCACATTCACAGCTACTCCCCAGGCCTTTCTTTCTGCGAGCTCCTCTTTCTCTTGACCTTAAACACTGCTGTCCATCAAGATTCTGTCCCTGACTTTCAGCGTTTCCAAACCCTCTACAGTTTCCCTGGTGATCTCATCCGTGTCTAGGACTCCAATACCACCTGTGTGCTCATAATTTCCAAAATCATATTTACAGCTCAGACTTCTCCTGAATCCCAAATTTATATATGCAAGCACTTCCCTTCCGATGTCTTACAGACACCCCAAATCAAATTGAACAGTTTCGAAACCAAACACATCTAGCCCTTACCATTTCGGATCGGAACCGCCCACTCATTCTCCCGGCCACTGCCATAGTTCAGGAGCTCAACACGCCTCTGCAGATCTACATCTAAGGACTGCTTCCCTGAGCTACCTGCCTAGTCAGCACCATCCAACCCACGGACAGAATGGTCTTGCTAAAAAGGAAAGACAGTATGATTATGGTACTCCCAAGCTTAGACTTGCATAGTATCCCACCAACCAGCTCAAGTTCCTCAGTCTGATCCACAAGCACCCACAGGCGCTGTCTCCTGGCTGGCCTCCTTTCTCCTGCACCTCACTGTTCACCAGGCATGAGTGACGCTAGCTCTGCTGGCATCCTCTGCCCTGCACCTCTGTGCACTTTCTTTCCCTGAACACTCTCCTCCCCAGCCCACCTGACCTTCCAGACTTAGGGGAGGCCCTCCCTCCTCCAGGAAGCTGCACGGGGCTCCCAGATGCCCCCTGTGCCTGTGGGGATAAGCAGCACCCTGTGATTAAAAGGAGCCTGAGCACTCTTATTTTCATGTTTTCACCCCCCCCACCCCGCTCAGCTGGACTCTCCAGAGCTGGGACTCAGCCTAGCACTGGCCCATGATAAGTGAGTTACCAGTGAGTGAAAATACGGAATTGGGAATGAGGCCGTCAAGAGAACACATCCCAGGAGGTGAGCATCCCAGGAGGTGAGCACCCCAGAAGCAGGAACTCACTCTCTGCTGAGTCTCCAAGGCCCAGAGCAGGGCACTCAGCACGCATCTGTAGGATGGCTGAGGGGATATTTAGAGTCAAAGAAAAACACTCAGCTCTCCCTGGAACTGCTTCCCATTTCTCTCTTGGTTTGTGACCTACTTCTACTGTGTGTACTGCATGATTTGTACTTACCAAACTAATGCTCTCCTTCTTCCATTAGAAAAAACAACAATAGCACTGACCACCCCACTAAGAATTCCGAGGCACGAGTCCATGGAAGGTGGCCTGAACTCCTTGAAGCTGAATGTGAAATTTTCAGTGGATAAAAGTGCATTTTTCTGGTGAAAGGGATTTCAGTATTCACTGAATAATCAACGGTATTAATGATTTAAGAATTAAAATGCTAAGCTAAATTAAGTCGTAGCAATGCACCGTTTTCTTCTCAAATCTGTATTTTGATAGACCATTAGCAACTTGGAGACAGCAGCCTCTGCTAAGCGTAACCGGAGAAGCCACAGCTGGCAGGCTCTCACACAGAGCTTCCTACGAGAATCTGCATTAAAAACGTTCTGTAATTGGAAAAGCCCTTCCCAGCACTCTTTACAGTTAGTACCCTGCTCTCCACTCTGACCTTTGTGAATGAGGGTGTCTACTACACTTCCCGCAAACGTGTTCCAGAGGAACACGTCACACGAGAAACGTAGTAACAAGAGGAACTGTCGCCCAACTCAGTGCAAAGGGGATAAATCCGGGATCACCTAGATTTACAGGAAAGCCCTTCCCGTGCCGCTCTGCCGCACACAGAGCGAACCCAACAGCAGGAGCCGCACTTTACGCACGCACTAGTCAATGCGTTCTTGGGAATAATACGCTAGCCATAAACAGCAGGGAACGGACAATTTAGTCACTTCGAAAGATAGAAACTAAAGCTCCACTTGAATGGAAGGTTCCCGGTGGACCGAAAGGGGCCGTCGCAGAGCTCAGCCCCACGCAGGCGACAAGGTCGCGCCGGGGTGGTTCCGCGGTCGGGGACCCGGCCTCCCAGCGCGCGGAGACCGAGCTCCGCCGACCCGGCCTCGGCGCCCGGCACCGGGACGCCCCCTCGGAGCCTCCCCAACTCACCGAGCTCCTTCCGGGAAGCTCTGAGGGGGCGGCCGCGCGCCGGGCCGCTAGGGCCGCCTGGCTCCGGCCGCTGCCGCCACGAGCCCGGCCCCTCCCCGCGACCCTCGACCCCAGAGCCCCCGACCCCCGGGACCCCTAGACCCCGGACCGGGCTGCTGCCTCGCTCACGCCCGCCACCCGGCACCGCCTCCCCGAGCCCACTGCGCTTGCGCGCATGCGGAGCCCCCACCCCGAGCGCCGAAGCGCCGAGGCCCGGGCGGCGCACGCGCGTCCTGACGCGGCCCGCGAGCCGCCACTTCCGCCCCAGCGGGAGGCGCGGGAGGCGGGGGAGGCGCAGGGCTCCGGCGGGCGCGACCCTGGTCCTCCGAGGGGGACGCGGCGGCTGCGGGAGCCCGCCACTCACCAGGTACAGCTGCTGCCAGCGGTTCTGAGAGTCCAACTCCTCAAACTCCCGCTCAATGGTGGCCGACATGGCGGCGGGAGCGGGCTGGCGCGAGGGAGCCTGCGCCGGCGGAGACGCTTGGGCCCCGCTCGATCCGGGCAGCGCGCTGCCGCCGCGGCGCATGCGTTCTCCACACCTGCCCCGCCCCCACGCCGACCCGGCCGGCCGCGGGGAAAGTACCTGGGGCGTGACGTCAGCGCGCCGGGCGCGGGGCGGGGCGCCGGGGGCGTGGTCCAGGCGGTGCCCAGGTGGAGGGGGCGTGGCCGGGCGGAGCTGCGCAGGGCGCGGAGGACCGCGCGGTCTCGGGAGTCAACATCTTCCTTGGTGTTGTCCCGTCTGACTTCTCCTTGCTCTTAGTTTTTGAAAAGCGGTATTTGACTTTTGTTTTAAACATCGCCTGGGTCAGCTTAGCGGCGAGTGTCCCCCTTCCTCCTCTGGGAGAATATAAACCAGGACTGGTGCCCGCTCCCGGGCGCCTGCCGGTTTTGTGCCGAAAGCCGAGACAGAGGCATCCTCCCCTGGAGTTGGCGACTCCAGCCCGTGAAGTAAACGTTACACAGCTTGAAAGTTGGTGTTACCTGTAAAAAGAACAAATCGTCTTTTACCAAACCACCGTGCTGGTTGTGGAAATCATCTCGCTTCAGATTAAGATAATTTTTTGTTGGGGAGTGTACGGCTCAGGGGTAGAGCGCGTGCTTAACATGCACAAGGTCCTGGGTTCAATCCCCAGCGCCTCCTCCAAATATAAATAAATAAATAAACCCAATTATGTCCCCTTCGTAAAAAACAAGAAAGAGATCATTGCTTGTAGGTAAAATCACGTGCTTAGAACATCTTCTGTATCACCTTTGTTAAAAATGTAAAGGGTTAGGAAAACGTAGTTGTGCTGTGCAATATTGAAATTTTAACTTTAATTAAAGTAAATGAAATGACAAAAATTCTCTCTTTGACCAAAGCCTACTCAGGTTCCTCTGAGCTCTCTTTCAACTAGGCTTCAACTTTTGGACTACTCTGTTTCTTTCTGCATTGTCGAAATTTAGCCAAAACCTTGCTAAGTCAGTTCTGCCGGAATCCCCCATTCTCAGTATCTGATCTCCCTTGTTATTTAACCAGGTTCCTCATCTTCTGCCACCCCCTGGGGGGACGGCTGATCACCCTGGCCTGCCTTCAGCAAGAATCCTATTAAGTCAGCTTACGCAGAATCCGCCCCCCCATGCCTCCTCTGTTAAAAATAAGAGTACAGGCCCAAAATGCGGTCAGTTGGGAAGTCCCATGTCACCAAACCTAGACTTAAGTACAGTTTCGGCTCTCTCAGAAAAGGGATCTTGAAGGAGGAAACCAGGAATCACCTAATCATCACTGGTTAGGTAATCGGCCTGATAGGCCCCTGCCCTGGACTTTGTGGTGACCACTTCGCTCCTCTGCCTGGGGTTAGTTCCTCATTCCTCCCGCTCCGCCTACAAATCTGTCGTTTTGTGTAGCGCCCCGGAGCTGCTTCCCCTCTGCTAGGTGGGATGCTGCCTGATTCATGAAGCATTTAATAAAGCCAATAAGATCTTTGAATTTTGCTCAGTTGAATTTTGTTTTTTAACACCTCTTAGTAATTTTCCATCCACTGAAACCCTTCCCCCCCGCCCAATTTGGCTGTAAATTCCCACTTGCCCATTTCTGTATTTGGAGTTGAGCCCAGTCTCTCCCCTACTGCAAGGCCCGTGGTAGTGGACCCATACCTGTCACAGTGGTCACCCCACACTCACTTGAATAAAGTCTTCCTCACCTCATCATCTTATATGATTGTCAGGGACAATCTTTTTCTTTAACAGAAATTCAGAATTCAGTTCCTCAGTTGAACTAGCCACATTTCAAATGTTCACTAGCCACATGAGCTAGTGGTGACTGTATTACAGAGCACACTCGTCATCCAAGGTCTATGGCACAGAGCTGCCTGAGAGGTTTAAAATACTTGGGGCAAAAAAGTGTCCTTGTACAAGTAAAACAATGAAAACACTGGTCAGAAAAAAGCAGCTATGGCAGCTGGAAGAAGTTGTAACAACAGAAAATTAAGCAGCCAGTCGGCTTTTCTACTTCTATGGTGTAAGTTAGGAATACATAAAAGCTCCTTCCAGAAATGCCCCACAGTCTATTCTGGTTTCTGAAGTTCTGTCTTTGAAACTGATTATTTAGATGAAAGGCCTGCATTACCCCTGCATTAACCCATGGTTGTTATCATCATCAGCTCATCAAATTGCTTTCCATCCTTAAAATATATTCTGTTCTACAAAGGAAAGGCAACCCCTTTGCAGACTTAAAATCAACTGATTGCCTGCCTGCAAAGTTGGCAATGTATGCATATCTCCCTGAAAGGAAAGGCATTTGGTCTCAAAGCAACAATTCTTGTCACCAGATATGTCCATCCCTTTGGAACTCACTTGCCCTCCGTGGTCAGGGAAGTGGTGCTGGTCCTTGTTTGCCAAGTTGCCAGGGTTCTGAGGCAGTGGTTCTCACGCCAGCATCATCTGCATCAACTGTGAGCGATGAAATGAAAATTCCAGGCCCCACCCCAAGCTGCTGAATCAGAGTGTCTGGGGATGGAGTCTGGGAGACTGCCTTCTGAGCTCTCCAGGGGAGTCTTACGCGTGTTGAAGTTTAAAAACCTTTGCTCTAGAAGAACAGGTAGACCAAGCTTTCCTGAAGCTAGGACATGACAAGAAGACAATGGACATCACTTATTCTCTCTGGCGTCTAATGCCCGACCCAGCTGGTCCCTGCCTCGCCACTTCCAAGGACCCCCAAACCTAGACCTTTGCCCAGTTCGAAGTCAACATCAGATGTCTTCAAGATTTTTAAATACCAGGTTCACCTTTTGCTCCCAAACTGCTGAACTTCCCTTGATAGTAACTATATATTTTATGTACATACTTTTTAAACATTTGAGAAAATACATAATGAACAAAGTCTACTATTTTAATATTACTTAAAGTATTTAATATTTTAATAACAGTAGACTTAATTTTAAATGAAATTTTTTGAAGTGGCCATGTGTATTTTTAAATCATAGTAATGACATACGTGTGAGATACTTATTCATCTTACAGACAATGCTTGGTGGGGTGTATATTGGGATTCACAGCAGTGACTTGGCCCCTTCAGCCTCTGCAACCCACCGGTGGAAACCACGAGGCTCCGAGTCCCTTCTTTCACTGGGACAGTGCTTGCCTTCTGAATTTCAGTGTCCTATCTGAGAAGCTCCTCTTCCCAAATGGATAACAGCAGGAATTTAACGTCTTGCATGAAGAAAAGTCCACAATTCCTTCTTGACAGTTTAATATATATTTAATTACTGAGTGAAGGAAGGAATGATGTATCTATGGAACTCGCCTATCCTGTGCTGTGCACTCTTAACCCTAACAAATACCATGACAAAAGGGGGAAAAGACACCCACCATCAATGAAGCTGAGCCACTTGGTGTGCACACAGGAAGAATGAATCTTGACCCTGTGCTTCACACCATTCAATAAACAGTAAACAGCTCCGAGGGACTGGTGACCTAAACGTGGAGAGTAAATAATAACGCCTGGAGGGAAAGAAGACATAGAAGAATATTCTTGCACCTTAATGGGACGCAGAGAGCACTAAACATCACCAAGAAAAGATTTTAGAATTGAGCTACTTCAGCATTAAGGACTGCTATTCAGCAAAGACAGCATTAAGCCTCGGAGGGAGAAGATGTGAGAGTGCGCGAAGGATAGCTGCACATCGGCACGGAGAGGACAGACAACCTGACAGGAAAAGGACGAGAGCTCAATGCGCGCTTTATGAACAGGACGTTCAAATGGCCAGTAAACATGTGAAGAGCACTCCACCTCACGGTTCCCTCACGAGCGCAGAGGAAATCGACAACGGGGTGACTCCTCACCCCGCCCCCGCCCCCCCCCCCCAGAATGGCAAGAGTGTGGCCCAACCTCAGCTCTGACGCCTGCTAAATAAGTAGCTTTGAATGGGCCCGGGGCAGGGCAGCCGAGCAAGGTCCCAGGGTCCAGACACCCTGAGCCATCCCAGAGGACAGAACCCTGGCATAAAAATCTGCTGGAAGAGAAGGTGTGAGAGGGACAAATACATGACTCGCCCCTTCATTAAGATAAATGTCACAGTCTTGCTCGAGCAGTCTTGGAAAGAAGAATACATAATGGGTGAAGTAAGGCAAATGCGGGTACCGTGACCAGGATTCTAGAATGATTGGTTTTTGAATACTTATTACCACCATATTTCTTAGTACACGTCAGATGGTTCTTAAGTCTCCTTAATTCTTGGAATCTAGGACTTTTTACTTATTTCAATCATTTAAAATCTGTACCCATCAATGTCCCAGTAGGGAACAGTTGGCACGCTCAGAAAGGATTATCAAAGTGTGTTGAAGGGCAGACAGTTTACAGAGTTGTGGATAAAATGAAAAGGAATCACTGACGCAGTGTGGAACACCCTACATTGGCCGCCTGGGGGAGATCCACCCACTTACAGGTGTGTGGAGGGAAGGGGCAGCTACCTCCGCCCAGAATGTGCAGGAGAGGCTGCGGGTTGGGTGGGCCATGGCCAGTGGGCATGGTGGCTTCCTTCAGAGGAGCCCAGCCCCCTCAGTCCAGCGACCTGAGCAGGAGTCCATACTGTGTTATTTCCTGCTGCTGCCGTAACAGAGCGCCACAAACTTCGTGGATCAAGAGAGCACACACTGATCATGCCACAGTTTTGGAGCCAGAAGTCTGAAGTTCTGCATTCAAGGTGTGGGCAGGGCGGCATGCCTTCTGGAAGGTCCATCTTGCCTCTTGGCTCTAAAAGCTGCTCACAGCCCACATTCCTCGGCCAGTGGCCCCGTCTGTCAGTGGCAGCATCCTGACCTCTACATCCACTGTTACATAAGCTTTTATTCCCACCTCTTGCTCCCCTCTCCCATCGGTCAAGGACCCCTGGGATTACATTGACCCCCACCCCTGTTGTGCAAGCTAATGCATTTCCTTATTGTTTATGCCCGTTTGATACGGGTTTCCTGTGACGTGCAACCAAAATCATGCCAGATGTCACAGTGCCCTAATGTCTAGTTACAGACTGAATGAGCACAGTGTCCCTACCTAATCACACCCCGCAGAGGAGAGGTGCTCAGCTCCAGGTCATGCACAAAATGGGCGTGAGGGTCTAAGAACAGTAAAGCCTCATGGACAGGGCTGCAGCGGGCGGTCCTACCCTGAGCCTCTGAGACTGTGCTCGCTCCTTAGTTCTCTCTACCCACCTTCCCCTATCAGCATAGAATCTCAGGCAAGGAAAATACGGCACAGACGAACCGCATTTCCCAAGTGGCAGCTAAGTGGGAGACAGATTGCCCCCAGCTGCATCAAGACCCAGG